CAGGAGAATTGCTTGAACCCAGGAGGTGGAGGTTGCAGTGAGCCGAGATTGCGCCATTGCACTACAACCTGGACGACAAGAGGGAAACTCCGACTGAAAAAAAAAAAATCATTTTTCTTCTTAGCCTCCGTCTTTGAACCAAGATATCAACTAGACATCTTAGGAAAGGTCTGCAACGTTGAAGTCTTAACTATAGCAATGCTGTTCCTCAGCTGTGGCTCAGGAGTGGTGCTCTCTGCAAACTCTTTAGCGGTCCATGAGATCAGTTCAGCTATTGAGAGTCCGTGCTTAGTGACTTTCATGCCAATTTGACAGAATAATCTGTTGGATCGAATAACTTAAAAGTGAGCTTGGATCAAAAGAGACAAAGAAGGGCATTACATAATGGTAAAAGGATCAGTGCATCAAGAAGAACTATGCACCCAATGCAGGAGCACCCAGGTACGTAAAGCAAGTTCTTAATCACCTACAAAGAGACTTAGACTCCCACACATTAATAGTGGGAGACTTCAACACTCTACTGTCAATATTAGATTAATGAGACAGAAAATTAACAAGGATATCCAGGACTTGAACTCAGATCTGGACCAAGCAGACCTAATAGACATCTACAGAAATCTCCACCCCAAATCCACAGAATATACATTCTTCTCAGCACTGCATGGCACCTACTCTAAAATTGACCACATAATTGGAAGTAAATCACTCCGCAGCAAATGCAAAAGAACGGAAATCATAACAAACAAACTCTCAAACCACAGGGCAATCAAATTAGAACTCAGAATTAAGAAACTAACTCAGAACCGCACAGCTTCATGGAAACTGAGCAACTGGCTCCTGAATGTTAACTGGATAAATAATGAAATGAAGGCATAAATAAAGATGTTCTTTGAAACCAACGAGAATGAAGACACAATGTACCAGAATCTCTGGGACACATTTAAAGCAGTGTCTAGAGGGAAGTTTATAGCAATAAGTGCCCACATAAGAAGCGAGGAAAAATCTAAAATTGACACCCTATCGTCAAAGTTGAAAGAGCTAGTGGAGCAAGATCAAAAAGACTCAAAAGCTAGCAGAATACAAGAAATACCTAAGATCAGAGCAGAACTGAAGGAGATAGAGACACAAAAAAAACCCTTCAAAAAAATCAATAAATCCAGGAGCTGGTTTTTTGAACAAATCAACAAAATAGACTGCTAGCCAGATTAATAAAAAAGAAAAGAGAGAAGAACCAAATAGATGCAATAAAAAACGATAAAGGGGATATCACCACAGATTCCACAGAAATACAAACTACCATCAGAGATTACTACATAAACAACTCTATGCACATAAACCAGTAAACCTGGAAGAAAAGGATGAATTCCTGGACACTTGCACCCTCCCAAGCCTAAACCAGGAATAAGTTGAAACCTTGAATAGACCAACAAGGGCTGAAGTTGAGGCAGCAATAAATAGCCTACCAATCAAAAAAAGCCCAGGTCCAGACAGGTTCACAGCTGAATTCTACCAGACGTACAAAGAGGAGCTGGTACCACTCCTTCTGAAACTATTCCAAACGATACAAAAAGAGGGAATCCTTCCCAAATCATTTTATGAGACCAACATCATTCTGATACCAAAACCCGACAGAGATTCAACAAAAAGAAAAAAAAAAAAAAAGAAAACTTCAGGCCAATATCCATGAGGAACATATATGCAAAAGTCTTCAATAAAATACTGGCAAACCGATTGCAACAGCACATCAAAAAGCTTAACTATCATGATCAAGTAGGCTTCATTCCAGGGATGCAAGGCTGGTTCAACATACGCAAGTCTGTAAATGTAATCCACCACATAAACAGAACCAAAGAGAAAATCCACATGATTATCTCAATAGATGCAGAGAAGGTCTTCGACAAAATTCAACAGCCCTTTATGCTAAAAATTCTCAATAAACTAGGTATCGAAGGAACATATCTCAAAATAATAAAAGCTATTTACAGCAAACCTACAGTCAATATCATACTGAATGGGCAAAAACTGGAAGTATTCCCTTTGAAATCTGGCACTAGACAAGGGTGTCCTCTGTCACCACTCCTATTCAATATATTATTGGAAATTCTAGCCAGAGCAATCAGGCAAGAAAAAAATAATAAAGGATATTCAATTAGGAAAAGAAGAAGTCAAATTGTCTCTATGTGCAGATGACATGATTGTATATTTACAAGACTGCTATCATCTCAGCCCAAAATCTCCTTAAGCTGATAAGCAACTTCAGCAAAGTCTCAGGATACAAAATCAATGTGCAGAAATCACAAGCATTTCTATACACCAATAACAGACTAACAGAGAGCCAAATCATGAGCAAACTCCCATTCACAATTGCTACAAAGAGAATAAAATACCTAGGAATATAACTAACAAAGGATGTAAAGGACCTCTTCAAGGAGAACTACAAACCACTGCTCAAGGAAATAAGAGAGGACACAAACAGATGGAGAAACATTCCATGCTCACGGTTAGGAAGAATCAATATCATGAAAATGGCCATACTGCCCTAAGTAATTTATAGATTCAGTGCTATCCCCATCAAGCTACCAATGAGCTTCTTCACAGAACTGGAAAAAACCACCTTAAACTTCGTATGGAACCAAAAAAGAGCCCACATAGCCAAGACAATCCTAAGCAAAAAGAACAAAGCTGGAGGCATCATGCTACCTAATTTCAAACTATACTACAAGGCTACAGTAATCAAAACAGCATGGTACTGGTACCAAAACAGAGATATAGACCAATGGAACAGGACAGAGGCCCTGGAGGCAATGCCACACATCTACAACCACGTGATTTTTGACAAACCTGACAAAAACAGGCAATGGGGAAAGGATTCCCTGTTTAATAAATGGTGTTGGGAAAACTGGCTGGCCATGTGCAGAAAGCAGAAACTGGACCCCTTCCTGACACCTTACACTAAAATTAACTCCAGATGGATTAAAGACTTAAACATAAGACCTAACACCATAAAAACCCTAGAAGAAAATCTAGGCAAAACCATTCAGGACATAGGCATAGGCATGGACTTCATGACTAAAACACCAAAAGCACTGAAAACAAAAGCCAAGATAGACAAATGAGACCTAATTAAACGCCATAGCTTCTGTACAGCAAAAGAAACAATCATTAGAGTGAACTGGCAACCAACAGAATGAGAAAAAATTTTTGCAATCTACCCATCTGACAAAGGGCTAATATCCAGAATCTACAAAAAACTAAAGCAGAGTTACAAGAAAAAAAAAAAAATCCCAAAGTGGGCTAAGGACATGAACAGACACTTTTCAAAAGAAGACATATATGAGGCCAACGAACGTATGAAAAAATGCTCATCATCACTGATTATTAGAGAAATGCAAATCAAAACCACATTGAGATACCACCTCACACCAGTTAGAATGGCAATCATTTAAAAATCTGGAGACAACAGATGCGGGAGAGGATGTGGGGAAATAGGAAAACTTTTACACAGTTGGTGGGAGTGTAAACTAGTTCAACCATTGTGGAAGACAGTGTGGCACTTCCTCAAGGACCTAGAAATAGAAATTCCATTTGACCCAGCAATCCCATTACTGGGTATATACCCAAAGAATTATAAATCATTCTATTATAAAGACACATACACACGTATGTTCACTGCGGCACTGTTTACAATAGCAAAGACCTGGAGCCAACCCAAATGCCTATCAATGATAGAATGGACAAGGAAAGTGTGGCACATATATACCATGGAATACTAGGCAGCCATTAAAAATGATGAGTTGTGTCCTCTGTAGGGACATGGATGAATCTGGAAACCATAATTCTCAGCAAACTGACACAAGAACAGAAAATCAAACGCCGCATGTTCTCACTCATAGGCGGGTGTTGAACAGTGAGAACACATGGGTACAGGGAGGGGAGCATCACACACTGGGGTCTGTTATGGGGGAGCCAAAGGGACAGAGGCGGGATGGGGAGGTTGGGGAGGGATAACATGGGGAGAAATGCCAGATGTAGGTGATGGTGGGGTAGAGGCAGCAAACCACATTGCCATGTGTGTACCTATGCAACAATCCTGCATGATCTGCACATATACCCCAGAACCTAAAGTACAATAAAAAATAAAAATTTTTAAAAAGTGAGCTTGCACTTTGTATCAGTATCTTTTCATTTCATTTTTTTTATCAGTTCATTTTTACTATATTTGATGAAAGTGGCCTGGCCTGGTGGCTCCCAGCACTTTGGGAGGCCAAGGCGGGTGGATAATGAGGTCAGGAGATTGAGACCATCCTGGCTAACACAGTGAAACCCCGTCTCTACTAAAAATACCAAAAAAAAAAAAAAAAAAGTAGCTGGGCGTGGTGGAGCATGCCTGTACATAGTCCCATAGTCCCAACTACTTGGGAGGCTGAGGCAGGAGAATTGGTTAAACCCGGGAGGCAGAGGTTGCAGTGAGCCAAGATCACGCCACTGTACTCCAGCCCGGGCAACAGAGCGAGACTCCATCTCAAATAAATAAATAAATAAATAAATAAAAGTGTTCATCTGCAATGGTTTGGAAATTTTTTTTAAAAACTGATCCTTCATGACAAGTTGAGAAGTTCTATGCCAAGGCTGTAAGCTGCTGTATCTCCCCTGTAAGGAAAGTCAGCTGTGAATGAATGCGGGGAATCACAGCACTTAGCAAATTATATTATAATGAAACTCAGGTCTCTCCCTGTCTCTCTCTCTGACTGTTTCCCATGTGCAGGGACTGCGTGCAATTCATCTCTGTGGCCTCATTCCTCACTGCCCTGTCTGGCACATTGCAGGCCTTTGGAAACGTTTGTTGAATGCATGCCTGTCTGCTTCCTTGTTACCTAAGAGTGGGTGAGGACAGCCTCAGGAATTTCCCTGGGACTTCTGGTAGTGTCTTCTGCAGGAGGTGATGGAGAACTAGGAGCAACTGATGAGGAAATGACCTTTCCTCCTTCTTTTCCCCACAGGACCAGGTCTCCTCTTCCCACCTGTCCAGCAGCATGAAAGCAGCATGACTGGCCGACCGCAGGAGAAGCCCCCAGAACCAGGCCCCCAACTGAGCCATCTGCTGCAGAGGTCAAGGTGAGCTTACTTTCCTTCTTCTGGAAGGCTGAAGAATTTTCATTTTAACACATTCTGTATGCATTTGTAATCCCTCACTATGCGCTAGAAGAAGGAGGTTTCCTGGGATGAGGGTAGACTTAGAAAGTACCTGTCAGCCTTATAGGTTAAAGCGTGCTCACTCTGGTTAAAGGAAAGGCTGATATGGAGCAGAAAGGATTGAGGGGAGTGTCTGGAATGGAACTCTTATTCTTCCACCATTACCTGAATCTGGGATCTTAGATAGATCTTTTAGGATGGGGCATCCGGGGAATTTTGAATGAAAAAAATCTCTGAGACGCTATAGAATCGGAAAGACTACTCCGTCCATGATCTGACTCCCAGTACCTGCCAGACAGTCTTCTGTCTCACACAGAGTCATAAGGGGCCTTAGACAATCAGTCAGGCCAGTTTCCAGCCAGGATTGGACAGTTAGTTCTTAGAAAGCTCTGTCTGCTGGTCTCTGCTCTGCCATTGGGAACCACAAAGATTTGGCTTTCAAAGACTCTTCCACATGCCTCTCTCATTGGGTTTGAAGATTTGAAGATTTGGCTGCCGTGACTCCGTCTTTCTTTTTTGGGTATAAATTCTCCCTAGAGACTGGTGCCAGTCACCTTGTCCTCTCGTTCCCTCCTTGTTGGAAAGGGCTTTAGTGACCTCCAGCATCTGCCTTGCTGGTTGCTCATGCAACCTGCACCATCTCCAGTAGAGAATCATTCATTCACCACTCATTCTTCAGTGGCTATTTACAGGCTCCTTTGTGACAGGCACCGTGCTAGACTCTGGAGATAAATCAATGAACAAGAAAGACAGGGTCTCTGTCTTTTAAGACAAAATAGGTTTAGGTCCTCAGAGAGAGTTTGAAATATGCATTGAACTACTTCCATGTGCTCCTTTTTTACGTTTTTATCTCTGCAGCTTCTTTCTTAAATGTCCCATAAGTGCTTGAAAAAAATTTAAATATTGGATATAGTTTTCTATATGCCATCATTGAAAAATAAGTTAGCTTATTGTGTAGCTCAATTCATCTATAATATACCCTTTTCTGATTTTGTCTGATTATCAATTATTGAGAGAATTGTGTTAAAGTCTCCCACTGGATTTGTCAGTTGCTCCCTGCAATGCTGACATTTTTGCTTTATATATATTTGAAGTAAAGCTATTTGGTGCGTAGGTGTTTAGAATTGGTGTATTTCATTGATGAATTGGGATTTATTTCTACCATCTTTATATGCATTTAATTTTTTCCACCCTTTCTTTTAGGTTGAGGCATTTTCCCCCCCTTATTCTGTTTTCCATCGTCTTATTTGGAATTTATACAGCCTATGTTTGTTATTTCTGGGGTTACCCAGCTAGCTAGCTGGATAGATGATTGATGATAGATAGATAGATAGATAGATAGATAGATAGATAGATAGATAGATATTATTAGAGACAGGGCCTTGCTGTGTTGCCCAGGCTAGCTTCAACCCAAGTGATACTGTCAGCTCAGCCTCCTGAGTAGCTACCTTAGCTTTTTTCCTTCCTTTTTTTTCTTTTTTTTTCTTTTTTTTGGAGACAGAATCTTGCTCTATCTCCCAGTCTGAAGTACAGTGGTACAATGTCTGCTCACTACACCTGCATCTCCTGGGCTCAAGCAATTCTTCTGCCTCAGCCTCCTGAGTAGCTGGGACTACAAGTGCCCACCACCATGCCCGGCTAATTTTTGTGTTTTTAGTAGAGATGGGGTTTCACCATGTTTGCCAAGCAGGTCTCAAACTCCTGACCTCAAGTTATCCACCTGTCTCTGCCTCCCAAAGTGCTGGCATTACAGGTGTGGGCCACTGAGCTCAGTCTATTTTATGTTTTTCATTTCTTTGTCTCTCTGTGCTGAACTCTGAGTAATTTATTCAAATCTATCTTCGGGCCAGGAAAGTGGCTCATGCCTCTAATCCCAGCACTTTGGGAGGCTGAGGCTGGCAGATCACCTGAGGTCAGAAGTTTGAGACCAACCTGGCCAACATGGTGAAACCTTGTCTTTATTAAGAATACAAAAATTAGCTGGGTGTGATGGTGCACATCTGTAATTTCAGTTACTCTGGAGGCTGAGGCAAGAGAATCACTTGAACCCGGGAGGCAGAGGTTGCAGTGAGCCAAGATTGCGGAGAGCCAAGATTGTGGCACTGCACTCCAGCCTGGGCAACAAAGCCAGACTTTGTCTCAAAAAACAACCAACCAAACAAAAAACTATCTTCTCTTTAACTAATTTATTCCGTGTCTCAAATGCTGTTTAACCCATCACTGGATTTTTTCTTTTTGCTTTCTTTGTCATTTCTAGAAGTTCTGCTTGGTGATTTTTCTGGTCTCTCATTTCTTGCTCTTATTTGAAAATGTTTATTTCTTTAAAAGATTGAATTTGCTACTTAGAAATTTTACAATTTTGTGTCTTGTAATTCCCACATCTGAAGTCTTTGCAGGTCTGATTCTGCCATTTGTTGTTTCTGCTAGCTAGTATTCATAATGCCTTGTTTCCTGTGACTTGCTCATTTTTTTCTTGGCGTTTTATCTTTGGGAATTATCTGAGGTGTGGGTCGAAGCTGGCTTTTCCAGAGAGGATTTGCATTAACTTCTATTGGTTGTCTGGTGGGTACTACCAACCAAAAGTTACTTTAAATTAATTTTCGAATTAAGGCTTTTCTGGCTACCTAAGTAATATCATTCAGGCTACAAACCTGTGTGAAGTCCAGCTATGGTTACACATTTTCAGGAGAGATTTTTTTGACCCCCATTCTGCTCAGCCCAAGGTCAGGTTTCCCTTCAGTCTCTTTCTGTGTTGTGTGTTTATTTCTCATTCACTAAGTGGTGTGAATTCTGTGGCGTGGAGTCCCAGCTTTATGGAGGGGTCTCTCTAGGCTTTTAATCCTGTGCTGCTGTCATTGGGAAACTTAGAATCTCCAGCTTTCAGCAGAAACCCTCAGAACAAAAACCAGCTTTGATGCCAGCTCACCTCCCACTCCCAAGGTTCCTGCTTTGGGTTTGTTTTGGTCTTTTCGTTTGTAAGATCTCAGCAATGTGTATTCAGTCTTTGTATCTAAAACTGTACCTAGCGTATTAGTTCTCTGAATTAGGAGAGTCAAGTAAGGTATCTGGTCTGCCACATTGCCAAAATTCATCTTTTTCTTCTCCACAATAGTCTTTTGGGGCAGGAATTTGCATTTCTTCTTCACAGAAAAGTGACCTGAAACTCAGAGCGGATATGTACTGGCTACAGCCATAGGCCTAGCGGGTGAAAGACTAGGAGAGAATATGTCCTTCTCCTCTCGTCTCTCCCCATCTTCCCTCTCCCCAAGATAACTCTTGACCACTGGCGGGGACAGATTTTATTCTCGCAAAGAATATGAGTTGCTACCAAAAGGCTTTAAATAGCGGAACAGCTTTGTACCATTTATTTATGAATCTATTGTTTATCTTCCTTGAGGGAGGAAATGACTTCTGCATATTTTGTGGCTTGTTTGTCTGGCAGTCACCAGCAGCTCTCCTGCTTCATCCCCATTCTGGAAAAGGGCTCCCGAACCTGAAGGCAGATCCCATGTACTTCTTGTCCAGACCCTGGCTTCCTTTCCTCCTCATGCTACTCTCTCCTTCTTCTCACCTTCTTCCCTTCCCTCTGCCTCTTCTTTCTTTTCCGCCTCTCCCTATCCTTCCTGCGACTGGCTTTTCTTTTTCATGGTGGTATACCTTTTGTTGGAGGGAAGTCTATAGAGCACAGTGATTTGGCTTGGGGGCTTTGAGGGGCAGGGAGAAAGAGCTGAGTTTGAACCTAGCTCTGCCAACTAGCTGAATCTCTCTGGGCTTCCATTTCTTCATTAGTCACGTGGATAGACAGTGGCTAGAGCTGTTTAGGGCCTTGATGAAATGATGCCTGTAGAGCTTGTAACACAGAGTTTGGACATCATTAGCACTTGGTCAGTGGTGGTTCATGTGACTATGATTGAGAACAGACCACTTCAAGGCCAGTGTTATTGTTGATGATGCTTTTTCTTTTTCTTTTCTTTTCTTTTTTTTTTTTTTTTTTTTGAGATGGAGTCTTGCTCTATAGCCCAGGCTGGAGTGCAGTGGCACGATCTTGACTCACTGTAACCTCCACCTCCTGAGTTCAAGCGATTCTCCTGCCTCAGCCTCCTGAGTAGCTGAAACTACAGGAGTGCACCACCACACCCAGCTAATTTTTTATATTTTTAGTAGATATGAGGTTTCACCGTGTTAGCCAGGATGGCAGGATGGTCTCAATCTCCTGACCTAGTGATCCGCCTACCTTGGCCTCCCAAAGTGTTGGGATTACAGGCGTGAGCTACCACACCCAGCCGGTGATGCTTCAGCTGGTAAAGCTTTTAAATTGACAAAGATGATTTATTAAATGGGATGAAAATAGAGGCAGAGGTCTAATGTAGATGTGGGAATCCCAGCTTTTCTATGATGTTCTTTGAACTGGGGTGTTTTTAAAAATAATCTGAGGGGACCAGGCACGGTGGCTCACACCTATAATCCCAGTACTTCGGGAGGTTGAGGAGGGTAGATCACAAGGTCAGGAGTCCAAGACCAGCCTGGCCAGTATGGTGAAACCCCATCTCTACTTAAAAAAAAAAAAACAACACACACACACACACACACAATTAGCATGGTAGCATATGACTGTAATCCCAGCTACTCAGGAGGCTGAGGCAGGAGAATCACTTGAACCCAGGAGGCGGAGGTTGCAGTGAGCCAAGATTGTACCACTGCACTCTAGCCTGGGCGACAATATAAGACTCCACTTCAAATAATAATAATAATGATGATAATAATCCAAGGGAATATAGAACACACTGGTCTGGCCAGTGTTTATGGAGGATGTAAACCAGGGATTCTGAAAATGGGGCCTAGACCGCCACACTCCAGATCTTGGGACTCCTGCTGAGCTGTGCCCTGTGTCCTGGTGCCATGGTGGGGCTGGAGCTGCATGT